CTCTTGGAGGAGAGACGAAACGTTTCATTAGAGAAGAACCCGTCCAGAAGACCTATACAATTTTTTTCTTTTTAAGTCTAACTTATCGGTTTGTTGTAATGGCAGATAATTGACTAGCAGTAGTGGTGGGCAGCGCTAATCTAAAATTATTAGCCCTAAAGCACTAACTCAGATAATTAGGTTCCCTAATTCTAAAGCCCTAACGCACTGAAAATTTAGCAAAGACTAATTCTAAAGCACTAAAATAACCCAATCAACCCAMGCTTCAACAGACAACATGAGTCACATGTTGCTCTAACATTCCACAGCCGTATTTGGGGTCATACATTGTCAATTTGTCACCTAGTGGAAGTGACACATATATGAACAAAATGAGTGACAGATTTCACCTTTATGACATTAACGTTGATTAATAACATTTAAAAACCTCAGTTAGTGCTTCTAAATTTAGCAAGTGCTAATCCACTAATAGATTTTAAAATTTGCAAAAGCCCTAAAGCACTAATCAGGAAATTTGTTCCCCTTTTAGTGCTTTAGGGGAACTGTGCCCACCAGCAGTTTATCTTTTTGCTTGCTTATACGCTTTTTCCATTTAGTATTTAATAAAACAGCATATTTCTTGATATATTTCAAGATTTATACAGATACACTGTTTCCCCAAACATGAAGCACTTTAGGTTTAGTTGTGCAGATGTTTGGTTATTTAGCTCATCTAAAATTAACTCAGATCTATTTCATAAAAAATATATATTCTGATTAGGGCTGCACAATATATCACAAATTTATCGTTATTGTGATAACAGCCAGTGCAATTTCATGCATATTGAAAAAAAAAATGCATAAATTGCAATAAATGATTGGCTCCAATGTTTGCATTTACTGTATGTTGTTCGTCAGCATCAGTCTGTTAAATAAAATGGACCAGAGAAACAACATAAAATCATAATCACTCCATGTCGGAAGGGAAATTATGTAGTTTTTTTTTTTTTTTTTGCTCTGAACCCAGAGCAGAAAAACATCAACATTGTAAATACATTTTTTTGATTTATCACAAGTCATATTGTCATCGCAATATTAAGCACTGTTAACGCACATCACAGGTTTTCTTGATATCATGCAGCCTTAATTCTGATTAATTTAAGCATTAACTCTGAGTAATAAGCTGCTGTTTCATAGGCAACTAGAGCAAGACAAAGTAATTATTGTCATCCTACATTCTAAAATTTAGGATAACAAATGGGGGAATGAGTAAATGACATTAACCTATTATTAGAAATAACTCATCTTCAATTATTTCATCGAGTGAAGAATTAAAACAAACAGCATGAAAAGTTTTTCACTTTAAAACTTTGTTTTCAGAAATTCAATGTAACTGTATATACACTTTACAATAGCATACAGCCTGACAGATAACAAAGATGTCTTAAAACATTTTTTTAAATACATCTTGAGCACAAATAGCAAAGCTTGCAGGTAAAATGGCTTAACGGACATCAATGAAATAAATCCATCAACACAAAATGCTCTTTTCTGCAGGAAGAAGTGCCATGATCCAGATTTAATTCATGAGTTTTCCCAAAAAGCAAGCCGTACGGTCTACATGCTAGGTTTTAAGCGTTTAGTGACATTGTGCTAAACAACACGGATATTTGTAAAAACAAACAAAAAAACACTCCGTCTGTAACCTTAAAACTTCATTAATACATTTAAAAGTAGATATGCCATGCCTTTTTAAAATCCAAAATACAAAAAAAATTCCTTACTTTAAGGATTTTCATTATTTTTTTAAGAAGCTGCTTGTTTTAAACTGTGTACAATAAACAGCTGAAGCATGTTCAAAAATGAAAAATAAAATAAAATAAAAAAGAATGAGCTGGATGAAAAGTATGAAATGCCTCCCACCGATTATTCTGAGGAAATAAAAACMTTAACTTAAAACAGTGAGCCTGAGCAACGTCACGCTGAAAGTGAAGCTTGCATAAAAGATGGCAGATTCTGGTTAGATGCCTTCGACTGGTGAGCTGGTATTGCTGCCGTCTGTGGTCTTTTTTTTTTTAAACATAGAATTTAGAAAGACATTAGAGCCTTCACCACATCTGAAAATGTTTACATTCATAGTCTGAACTCAAAACATTCTGCGGCTTTTAACCATTTCACTTGAATAAAAATGGAAACAACTTCTAAATGAAACAATTGTTTGGGCAAAGCAGGATTGACCCATTAAGTTTTTATCGTTTGTTTTACAAAATTAGTCTCGGCGAACCACACTTTACGATATAAAGCGTGGTTCTTTCTGCGGAGCAGGGTCTGATTGTCTCTTTCCGTTTCAGGATTTTGAGCACAGGAACTGTATGGCACTGTACAGGCAACCCAAACACTTCTGCTTCGAAGTGAAATCCATTTTCATTTAGACGCAAACTGATAAAATGTTGCGATTCAAAACATTAAACCTCAAAAAATTGGGTGTTGGACTGAGACTTTTGTCTTATTCTGATTTACAGACTGAAACGTGTAGATCTGCCAACCACGTGTTTCCATTTCTGAATATTTAAAATTAAGCACGTTCGTTTGGATAGAGCCCAGCCTAAAATCAAGTAAAAAAAAAAAAACCCTCATGGTTACCTTATTCTTATAATTTTCTAAACTATGTAAACAAAAGTTTAAAAAAATGCGTAAATCAGACAGCTACAGGGGCAGTTTCAGAGAACCAACAGTAACCGTACGTCGTATGACGGCCGACCACATTTCTACCACGAGTAGACATTAAAACACTGGCAAACATGTGCTACATTAGTCATGATGCTACTCAGAGGAGCCGTTGAGATACACAGTACAACTCAGAGAAAAAAAAAAGATTTGGCCAGAACACTTGAAGAGGAATAAAAGACAAATACTGATTACAGAGAAATAAATGAAAAGCTAATATAAAAAAAATGTTTGACATGTCACTTTGAAAATGAATGCCCTCTAAACCTTTACAATATGTCAGATTTACAGTTAACCCTAACGATTAAAGGAGAAATGTATCTACAGTGAAACAGATGCAAGAAAATGAGAAAAATAAAGCCTTTGATTGACAAAGCAGGGGACTGTCATTATTATGCACCTATGTTCCAAAAAACAAAAAAAATTCATGACCCTTACGAACTTAGGTAAAACATTTCTGAAACACCGTTGGAAAAAAAAAAAACAGACCACTTTTACCAGAAAAAAAACTGCAACCAACAAGAAAACGTTAACAGAGCTATGAAGGAATGCATATGGTTTTTTTTTTAAAAAGCTACAGCTTGTAGGTTTGTCTGAGCATCAGATCAGTGATTACACAAAGACCAGTCCTTCTCTCCGACAGCACCAGGAGGGTGGTTCGGGTTCGGGGGGAGGGTCACTGTCAGGATCCTCTTTTACACGGTGGCATCTTATGTCCACCAAGCCAGCACCAAGACAAGCCAGCACCAAGACTTCAGATTTTAGTGTGGAGGTGATCTCTCTCCCCACAGAGCCACACAGAAAGGTGACTCTACCTGGGCTTGTTCCTAGTGTGTGTAATTTTATCTATTGTTTTTTTTTTTTAAAAGAAAATTACACCTACAATTTTTTTCAAATGTTTTCTTGTAAAGTCATTTTATTTAAACAAAAGAGGCTAAATTTTTTAAAATGGCAATGTTGTAGTTTGTAATCCAAACAGAAGCTTTCTTCTTCTTCTACACATGATTTCAGTCTTTACGTGTCGTCCTGTCGTGAGACTCGGCTCCGGATCAGTCAGGGGGCAACAGGTCATGAAGCCGGAACTTGTCCCGAACGTGTGGCCTCACGTCCTCGTTCTGATCCGATCAGCAGGCAGAGGGGACAAAACGAGATGAAAAGGACACGGTTGAATTATTCTGACTGCTCAGTTCTAACACAGGTCCTCGTCCTGCTGTTACAGAATATCTCACCATCTCAACCAGCCTCTCCAGGAAGGGCACCAGCTTCAGCAGCTCATTGTCATTCTTATCCATGAACCAGCTCTCTATGGGAATCCCATTGGACAGCTGTGGAGACAAAAGGCTATTTGTGAAACAGTTGTGCAAACACTACATTTACAGTTTTAGCTGGTCTCGTGTTTATATACACAAGAAACCTGATTAGATTACATCTATATTTCTTTTAAAAAAATTCCTTCAGCACTTGATGCACAGGTGAAAACATTTTTAAACTGTAGTAATTACCTAAATGCTAAAGAATTACCTTTCTAAGATCACGTCACACCAACAGGAACAAGCACAACAACTGTATTTTCAAAATAATTCACAAAAGGCAGACTAATTTTGTCGAAATCCCAGCTGTATTAATAAATATGTGCATTTATTTTTACACAAATGCTCATTGGTGTAATGGGGGGGGGGGGGGGGAGAACCCCATTTGATCCAGTCAATATAACCCCCAAATAAAATGACATCATTTGCTCAAACACAATAGAAATTAAATGGTTAAACAGACAGATGCAGCTGTCTTGTTGTCTTTAGGTAACTTTAACCTGATTTAAAAATTTACAATGTTATATGTATGTTTAAGCAGAATTGCTGAAAATGACGTGAAGGGTTTTAGGACATAGCCCCCTCCAGTGGTAGACCTAAAGTTACTCATTTACAAATGCTGTCAATATGTATTGTCCTGTTTGGGAAGCAGATAGCAACATGCAGCATATGTGTACACACAATGCATGTGGATTTTATTTTGAAATCAGAAGTTTCAAAAAGACATCATCAATGCAGTCTCGGCTGTGTTTGGAGTCCGTCTTCCGCAGAATTAATTCAATTAATGCAATCTTGCATTTCCTGCACACATTTTTTGGAGCTGCTCTGTGCTTCACTCTGTGKAGAGCCAACTCACACAAACGGCGGCAAACTGCACAGCAAAGCGGAGCGGGAACCGCATCTAGTGTAAATTAGGGATTAGCGAGATCCTGCAGGAGCTGTGCTTTAACTGCAGACTTTCAGTTTTAATTTGAAAGTTTCGGTGATCGGTGTACAGTTTATAGATGTGCCTACACTTTTAAAAAAAGGGACCAAAAGTAATGGGTCAAATTAACAATCATAAATCAAACTTTCAAATCCTTTGTAGSCTGGAAGTCTGGAACACAAAGAGAACACCAGACGCTAGCTTTCACCCTGGTGATGCTCTGTCTGACCTTTAGTGCAACTGTCTTCAGTTACTGTTTGTTCTTGGAGCATTTTCCCTTCAGCTTTATCTTCAACAAGTGAAATGCTCCATTTGATTGAGGTCAAGAGACTGACTTGGCCATTGCATAATATTCAACTTCCTTGCCTTAAAAAAAATATAAAACTCTTAGGTTGCTTTGACAGTTTGTTTAGGCTCATTATCCAACTCCAATGAGTTCTGAAGCATTTGGTTGAATACGAGCAAATATTGAAATTGAAATTATCTCAATATTTATGGTCCTGACTGTATGTGTAAATAATAATAATAATAATAATAATAATAATATCAGCTTAGGCTCATACTCTGAGAAAAAAAAGGCTGCATTTCAGGAACGAAGCAGCCAATGCGCACGAGACAAAAAGCCATGTCACCTGATAAGCAAAGGCTTGTGGTGAATTGTCGATGATGATGGTCTTTGATAGATCTCTGCCCAGGATGTTGAGGTCCTTGATGTAGTTTCCCTGGACGCAGACACAATGTTCACGGAATAACCTGTGTCTACAGTTACAGCAGGGAAAGAAAAGAACAAAAATAAATAAATCTGTAACATCAGCTCAATCAATTTATAAAAAGCACAGCGACACCCTTGCAGCAGGACACACTTCCTGGGTCTACTTATTTTAAATTTAATCTACTGTTACATTAATAAAAACATACCTTACAAGCTGCTTTTTAGGATCCAAGATGTTGAGCAGTTTGTCTGCATACACCTTTTTAGAGGCTGTGAAAAGGATGATCTGGGAAAACAAAATAGTGCAGGTCTAAACATTTTAATCTAACATATATCATTAATTGACAATAGTAATATAGTTACCTCATATATTTGAGACATACGCTCCAGAAACTCTCTAAAGAATGGCCTCAGGCGCACATACACCTGCACAAATTTATAAATAAATATTATCAACATGGGACCATTTATGCTATTTTCTCTGGACGTGAAAGAACTGTCTATAAAAACGATCTGGTTTGCAAGTTCACCTGTTTCTGAAAAAACACTCTGTCCCCCTCTAGTGGCATTACGAAAAAAAAAATAATAACAGAGAGAAATTTTGCTACAGAGGCGGCACCAACCTGGTAAATGACATCTTGAAAAAGGACAGGGAAGGTCAGCGCTGCGTCCTCCAGCTCATTTAAACTGCAGTGAACCAACGTTTCATCCTGTGCAGCACAAGTTAAACCACCGGCAAGCTTACAAAAAACACTTTTCAGAGTTTTGATTTAAGAAATGCAAAGTAATGGCAAGAATTTTTAACTGACCAAATCTAAAACCAAAGAGAACTCAGGCGTGCTGCGTGTCTTCAGTGGCAAGGCTGGTTTACGGGTGAGCTGCTCTTCTGTCAGAGGAGGGACGTGCTTGATGAAAAAATACCTACAAATCAAAGACAAATGCAATTTAGGGGGGGAATAAACAGCTTCTGTGTTTGATACTTCCAAATGGTTTAGATGGTAACACTTGCCCATTTTCACAGATTCCCTCAGAAGCCAAGAACATCTAAACGCACCGAATTACAAATCCAGTGACAGAAACAACACAAGTTGTTAAAATGTTATCTAACGTTACACTCACGGGTCAAAAACCTCCCAGTCTTCATCATAGGATGCCTCTGGTGGTACTGTGGTCGGAGGAACGTCCACGTATGACATTTCTGGACTGGAACCTGGAGCTTGGACCACAAGAACACGTTAGCAATGGATGATTAGTGAAGTAGTACAACTTCCTAATGAAAGGAAAGCCTTGAGATATCTACCTGTGAGAGGGGGAAGGTCAGCATCAGCATCGAGCTCCCCCTCATCCGTTGTGGGAGACGCTTCGAGCATGTAGGGGGGCCGCAAAGGTGGCAGGTGTGTCACGCTGGAGTAGAAATGAGTGCCGGGGCACAGCTCCTGCGCAGACGTAGCCGTGCAGGTGGGCGTCTCCACTACCTGCTCCATGTCCAGCTGTTTGACGATCTCCTCGGCCTCCAGCGCCTGGTCAGGGGAGTCTGAGCCTGAAGAGGCTAGGAAACCAGAAACATGAGGAGAAATTTACCACAAACACTCACCACCACAACTCTTCTAAAACTAAGTATTTCAAAAAATGTAATTAATTAGCAAAGAAATTAACTGAGATCCACTCCTAAAGTTAATATAGTGGGAAAATATGACAAATTCCTGCTAAAACCTGGATCTTTGTCAAGTTCAAGTAAGTGTTGATCTATTACATCACAAAAAGATAAACAAAAGTAGTGTTCACAATAAAAATAAATAAATAAGGGCTATAACAGGGTTCGACAAATACTACTGCTAGACTGACCGGGGCAGGTAAAACCCATATTCGGGCAGGTGGGTGTGTCCCGATGCCTGCCCAACCGTGCAGGTAAACAATTTCTTTACTTTTTTCTTAGGGCCATTTATTCGAAAAGCAAATAAAACACGTAAAGAGAGAATAAACCCTCAAAATGTCCCCCTCCCGCTGTAGAAAAYTTACGTCGTGCAGCGTGTCGCCGGATCCTAATCTCTSCCTCCCTCCAGCTGCACAGAGTGAAGTTTTAACAACCGTAGTTTTTCACACCCAAGTTGTCGGAGAAAAAAAAATGTTTATGTTTTGTTACCCACAGAGATGAAAAAATATGTGGACGTTCATTCAGTCATAAATCCATCTTGCTAATGTCGGCTTCTGCTCTGACGATGAAGATGAGAGCGCAGCAGCAGCGGGTCAGTTCAACAGGCAGAAGATCATTGTATGGCAGGCCGATATTACATTTATTTAGCTTCACCACTCTTACATTCCAGTTATATAAAATTGTTTTATGACTAGATCAGAAATATTATTTAGGGTAAAAATTTAAATATTTTTCTTTTATCATTTAGTTTTATTGACCTTTTTTTAAATTTGGAGATCTTTCCAGCTTGAGCTTGTTTGTTTGTTGAAGTTGATTTTTGAGAATAAGGGGCACATATGATAAGTTTTTTTCTTCACTCTGCACTCTTAATTCAGGGTCCGGTTTACTTTGTTTTTTATGGATCAAAGAAACAAACAAATAAATAGACATCTCTTAARATATTTTGACAAGGCAAAATACCTATTTAAGATATCTCTAATTATATTCTGACTAGTATAAATAACATCAGATTTATCATTAAATTGTAGTGAGACTCCAGTTTAAGATATCTTAAATTTGTCTTTAGATATGAGATATATAAGATTATTTTAATACAAATTGCAGACTTTTTCATGTTCTGTAAATTGTATTTAAAACAAAGCGGCTGCTGTTGATCATTCTGTTTTCATAAGCCCCGCCCCCAAGGCCAGTACTCTAGGGAAAACACTGGAAAGGTCTAAAAAAGTTTTTGAAGATGTTTTTGATATTTCAATTGACTGTTAGTAACTCAGTCTGAAATGTTTGCATCTGCTTAATCAGTTGTCATGTTATATACCTGTACCTCTGTGTGTAACCATGTTAATATTTTTGTAGTACAAAGTACAGTACATGTTTTTCTTATTTTATCAAATTTTGAACATTTTTGTTTCGGGCAGTTAACTTTTCATGTCGGGCAGGTAACATTTGTTGTCAAAAAAACCCCACTTGTCGAACCCTGGGCTATAAATTCTGCTGCATCTACTAAAACATGTTTGCTTACTTTTAGCTGGTGAAAAGAAGTTAAAAACAGGGGAGAAGATGGTCCCGAGCAGGGTGGTTCTTGGAGGGCTGGTGGTCATCTCCACAGCAGTAGTTTCCTCCAAACTACCATTGGATTTATCCCTATTCCTGTCATGATTGGTTGCTTCTGCAGGGGAGAAATAAAGACAGGATAAGAAATGGAAAAGTAATGCTCATATTTATTATTCTGCTCGTTTGTGCGTTACTCACGTCCATTGATGGGGTCGTTTTTGCCCGCCCTGCTCACAGCTCTGTGAGGGGCGTTGGTGTTTGTGGGAGTGGAGCTTATGAGGTTGTTGTCCACATCGCAGTGGAGGCGGGTCTTCTTCGCTGGGCTTTCCTGCTGGAACTGACAAGCAGAAACAGCTGTAAGACAAACTACAAAACACATGGAGGTGTCTTCAGGTAAAAGCCAGCAATGTAAAGCAGGTTTTCTGATCTCTGCAACGAGCTTCAAGGAATTATCCTCACTTGAACAGCGATGATGACACACTGATAATAATCAAACAAAATTAAACATCAAGAGCTTTCTGRTTTTTAAACAACAAATGATCATTTTTCCTTGTTCACAATAAACTTTGACAGCAAACGTGCAATATATATTTCTGCATTCTGCGGTCATTTAAAACATGACCAAAAACAGCAACAATGGGCTCTTGGCTATTTTTAAAGGAGCATATACTGGTGACATTATTTCCCAAAATAACTACTTTTGAAAAAGAAGTAATATTAATAGGACTGATGTCACAATAGCAGTAATCTAAGAGTCTCCAAGTTCCACTTTCAGTTTTACAGATTTAGCCTGAAAAAAAAAATACTAAACTGATATTAATGCCCACTTAACAAGAAGAAATAATTGTGCAAACTCCTTTGTCTTTCTATAGGAAAGGCTTTTAGCTGAGTTGACTTTTCCACTCGTTACAACCTCCTGTCCCCGCACGCCAACTTTGTGAGCTAAAAGCTAAAATTAGACCAGAACCCGAGTTCTCGGACAAGCTGCTGCATTCCACCAGACATTTCTTGAGAAACATGACACTCGGCAACAAGAAACACAGAGTGTAAGCGGGGAACCTAAAGAGCACATTGTTAAATCCAGTCCAACGCYGCCGAAAGCAAAACACACCAAGGAGTGGGGCAACTCCACAAAGAGGCCCAGCAGTCACATTTTTGCTGAAAGTAAACTGACTTATGGAGGTAGTTACCTTGACGGCATTTCCTCTGATGAACTTTTTGATAGTRGAAAACAATCCACTCTCCTCACTGGTAGGAGGTTCCTCCTCTGCTTCTGAATGCCTCCTCTTGGTTCGGGACGTGCGGCTTGTCAGAGCGGGGTTTTGGTGCTGAGACGCCTTACGCATTCTCAGCCTCATTGTTTTTAGCAATCACATGTAAGGCTGTTTTAGGGGACAAAACAAAAAGTAAGTAAATAAAAAAGCAAGATAAAAATCACAGAGAATAAACAGTTATTCAGCTAAAAATACAAGCTGTTTTAACGGTTGGTTTTCTCCTAAATGCAGGAGGTTTTTTTTTGAGTGCATCTTTGTGTCGTGCAGTGATATTGGTTCTTTCTCCCTCCACATCTGGATGCATTCAAGATCCCATTTCACTTACATCAGAGCATCACAGCAGCCACAGCTGGCTTTACTTCTATTTGTACAGTAAAAAAAACATTTTAGAGTCTTATAATAAACAGGTTTTATAAACACTACTTATATGTACAAGACATATATATTAGTGTATACAAAGTGAGAATATAAGTGCACACAATGGCTGTAAATCATGTTTATCGCTAAGCTAAATCAAAACATCTGCAAAGGAAATACATTTGTTCGCTGAAGTTGAGTAACTAAGCAGGAGAGAAAACAAAACAAAGCCGCGTACATTAATGCGACAGGCCTTTTCACTTATGTAACAAAATAAAATGTGTCCAGACATATCCACAACCAGTCAGCCTCCAACAAACGCCTTCTTACTACATACTACTGAACATGCCACAAACGATCACTTTTTTTTTTTTTTTTTACCACATCTGTTTTCTATTTACACAACAGAGCAAGAGTGAAAACACGAGAACTGATGCCCAATACAATACATGGAAAAAAAAACCTGTTCATGGTAATGTTTAACGTACAGGAAAGCAGAAAAAAGAAAAGCGGGACAAGTATGAAGGCTGAGACTGCTCAGAGGATCGGATTGCACAGCAGGAGTTACATTAGTGTAAGCAAGGACAGATCGGGATTAAAATTATGGGATACAACTTTGGAAAAGAAGGGCTGACAACGTGCAGATTGGAAAAATACAAAAATCTGTTTAGACCTGAAGTTTTAAAGCAAGTTTAACTGATGTTTAACCTTTACTGGTTTAAAAAAATAGCATTATGGAGACTTCTTCACTTCCCCTTTTTTGCTTCATTTATATGATTTTTAATCAAACTTGTGTCTGCAAGGTTATTTCACTAAATAGGAACTGGAAAAACTTGGAAATAAATATATCAAACTTTGATTGGTAAAAATAAATTTTTCAGCAGCAAATATTATGTGTTACTGATTCACAGATTGAAATAATTAAGTATAGTTTAGTTGTATGAGAAGCCTTATAATTTGATCACAAATGTTTTTGAAAGCTAAGTATTTTACTATTAAATCATAAAACTAAAGTAAAATCAGGACTAGATAGATAGATAGATAGATAGATAGATAGATAGATAGATAGATAGATAGATAGATAGATAGATAGATAGATA